GGTTGAGGAGAACCAAAAGGCGCATATCAGGAAGGAGAAGGGAGATCCGAAGGCGATGTGGGAGAAGTTAGAGAGTGTCTTTATGCAGAAGAAGACTGGTACGCGATTCGACGCTTATTCCGAACTCTTCTCCACTCGTCTCCAAGAGGGAGAGTCCCTCTCCGACCTCGTTGCTCGCGTCGACCTCTACATCTCCCATATCAAAGAGCGCCGCCCCGCCAAGTTCTCCCTTGATGACCTCGACTCCGAATTATGGTCCATGACGCTCATCAAGGCCCTCCCTTCCGACTACAACAACTTCGTCACCTTCCTTACCCTCTCCGACGACCTCTCCCTCGACAACGTCACCCAAGCCTTCTCCAATGAGGAGCAATCCCGCAAACGTCGTGCCCTGCAGAATGAAGACACTCCTGAGCTCGCTATGGCCGCCGCTCTCAAGCCCCTTTGCTACTTCTGCGACTCTCCCTCCCACATCGTTCGTGATTGTCCTGAGATGAAGTCTGCGTCGTCATTGGCCAAGCAGAAGTCGTCTGGATCGTCTGCGTCGTCGTCATCGCATTCTGGAGGCCAAGGGAAGCGTGGGGGTCGTGGTAGAGGTAGAGGGAAGGGAGCGAACGCGAATGAAGCCCAAGGAGGGGCTTCTACGCCGTCGGCTGGTTCGGGAGAGACTCCTAAGGAGGAGAAAGCCGGTCATGCAAGTGCTCTTTCATCATCAGCTCGCCCCGCTTGGCTCCGTTCTCGTGCAGCCACTGACTGGAACACAGACACAGGCGCCTCTTCACACATGACCCCTCATCGTCATTGGTTCTACTCGTACTCTCCCCACGTCGTGCCCGTTCGTTTGGCCGACGATTCAGTGATCTATTCTCAGGGGATGGGGTCTATCGAGTTTGTTCCTATTGTCAGTGGTAGAGAGTTGCGTCCTGTAGTGTTCCATGACGTCCTGCACGTTCCCAAGCTCGCCTCGAATCTATTATCGTTGTTCCATCTCTCTGTGAGCAAGGGCTATGAGCTTCATATCGTCGGGCGTGACGTCGCTTTCAAGCGAGCTGGAGAGCTGCTTTTTACCGCTTCTATCGTCGATGGCAACATCGGCTATCTCAATGGGCATACTTCCTCCTTCGGAGTTCATCATGCTCGTTTATCTTCTACTTTGCCACTCGATCTCTCTCTCTGGCACCGCCGTTTCTCTCATACCAACTACGACGCCGTTAAACGCATGCATACCCTCAAGCTCGTTGACGGTCTTACCATTTCGTCCTCCTCTACGCCCGATCCTATCTGCGAGCCTTGTCTCTCTGGGAAGCAATGTCGTCATAACGTTCCCAAGACCGCTACTCGTCGCTCTCACCCTCTCGATCTCATCCATAGCGATCTCAAGGGTCCCCTCCCTCCCACCCGCAACGGGTATCGCTACTGGGTCACGTTTATCGACGATGCTGGACGTTTCAAGGCGGTTCAGTTCTTGAGGAAGAAGAGTGAGGCTTTTGGGGCTTTCAGAGTGTTCAAGGCATATGCAGAGAAGGCGCTAGGGAGGAAGATTAAGATGTTGAGGGACGATAAGGGAGGAGAGTATATTGGGAAGGATTGGGATGCGTAATGTGCAGAGGAAGGGATTCTTCGCCAGCATACCGAGCCGAACGAACCCCATCAAAACGGCGTAGCGGAGAAGGCGAATCTCGACATGGCTCTTGCTACTACAGCGATGCTTATCGAAGCTAAGCTCCCTCCTTCGTTCTGGGATCTCGCTGTTTCCGCCTATATCCATGTCTCCAATCGCACGCCTACCTCTGCTCTCAATGGCGGCATTCCCTACGTCGCTTGGAAGAAGAAGAAACCCGATGTTTCCTACTTCCGCGTCTTCGGTTGCCTCGCCTATGTGCTCGTTAGGAAGGAGAAGCGGAAGCCGTTCACCTCGCATACTCGCAAGTGTATCTTCGTTGGGTATGGGAATGGGGTGAAGGTGTGGCAGTTTTGGGACCCGGTTGAGCGTAGGATCGTCATTAGCTCTCATGCTGTGTTCGATGAACGCTTCTTCCCTGGTAACTCCACTCTTGCTATTAATCTGGTCGACGATTTATCTCCCAGTGATACTCCTGGTCCTTCTGTGGTAGAGGTGACGGATCAGGAGGGAGAATTGGACGCCTCTGGCGAGTTTATTAATCCGCCACCTCCCCCAGCTCCACACCACGTCGACTTAGCCCCTCCTCAGCCCCCTCATCACGTGCCACCGCCACATCCTCGTACCCCTTCGCCACATTCATCTCCCTCTCCGTCTCCCACTCCAGAACGGTCACCATCTCCTCCTCCTAGACGCAATCCAGGCCGTTCTACTCGTCCAGACAAGTCTCTCAATGAGAACACCATTCAGCAACGCAACGATCGTCCTCCTCATCGCACTCCTTCCGTCCCACCTCACTCGCTATCTCCGGATCCTCTTTGTCTTCCTATTCCTCGATTCCAGACGCCTCCTCGCGTGGATAGGCCACTTACAGGCGACGATAGTCCTGATCCTTTGGCAGCGACTCCGGATACTCCCACTTGGAGAGAAACTCGGATTCCGGATCCTATCTTGGAGTCGGAGGATGAAGACAGCGATGCCTACGACTCTGCTGTGCTGGTTTCAACCGGATTGGACTTCATGGGGACGGAGTATCTCACCCTCGATCAGGCCTGCGAGTTTGCCCATGCGCTGAAGACGACGTCACACGATGGAGAGCCTAGATCGTTCAAGGAGGCGATGAAGCAGGAGCCGAAGGAGAGGCAGAAGTGGTGGGAAGTGGCTTTGAGTGAGATTCAGTCTCTGGTAGAGAATGGGACATTTGAGCTGGTCGAGTTACCAAGGGGAGCGAAAGCAATAGGTAGTAGATGGGTTTTCAAGGTGAAGCGGAACGCGGACGGTTCGATTGAGCGGTATAAGGCGCGTTTGGTGGCCCAAGGCTTCTCTCAGCGTCCTGGATCCGACTACCACGAAACCTTCGCTCCTACGCCACGCTGGGCAGCTCTACGCGCCGTTCTCGTCCTAGCCGCCTTCGAGGATCTCTATCTAGAGAGTGTCGACATCTCATCCGCTTTCCTCAATGGTACGCTCAAGGAGACCGTGTTTATGCGCCAACTCGAGGGATTTGAGGAGAAAGGAGCTGGATGGGTGTGGAGGTTGAAGAGGTCGTTGTACGGGTTGAAGCAGGCTGGAAGGGTTTGGCATGAGACGTTGAACGAGAGGTTAGAGGAGATGGGATTCAAGCGGATTCTCTGTGAGCACAGTATCTGGGTGTTTGGTCGAGGGGATTCGCGCATTATCATACCCATCTTCATTGACGATATGACGATTGCTGCAAAATCCAAGGCTGAAGTCGACCGGGTCAAGTTGGAGCTCAAATCTCACTTCAAACTTCGCGATCTTGGTCCTACCTCCTTTCTTCTAGGCGTTTGTATCGAACGGGATCGCCCCAATCGTACCATTCGCCTCTCCCAACGCCAGTACGTCTTAGACCTCCTCGATCGCTTCAATTTCTCCGATTGCAGTCCGGTTTCCACTCCCCTTGATCCTTCCATTCGCCTTTCCACCTCCATGGCGCCCCAGTCGTACGAAGAAGAG